TGTATTTACGCTATGATGAAAAGAGACAGATGTGTACTCTGGTTAAAATGGTGCATATGATTTTTATTCTATATTCATATAGAAAGGTTTATCATACAACTTAATATTTATTCATTGAATCTTCCAAATTGTATAAGCATTTTAACGTATTTCTGATATAAACCTAATCTCGATAGTGCTGCAAACTTGCATGATCCTAAAATCTATGTCACTTCAAAAGTCGAACGGTTGACCATGGATAATTTAAGTTTACAGCACTATATCTTAAGCTATATGCATTTCCACTTCTTTATCTAGATTTTAATCTTAACTAAATGCCTTTAAACGCTAGGTCCAACTCTAGTCTTAAACTCTAGTAGATAAATACGCGTTTTATTCCAATACTCGCCCAATGGCAATATTATTATAATTAATACATAAATTGAAAATAATTAAATTAAATCACCAAATACTAAAAACTTATTAAATCGTAAGGTTAAATTAAGTTATCTTGAATATTCTAAATTGTTATAACTTTGCCTTAAATGTATAGAGCGTTCTTACCCTTCATAACTAAAGCACTGTGTCTTTTTTCATTACATTGTAAACACAATTTGGCAGAAAGAGATAGAGAGTACTTTAGTTTAAGGTGCAATTGAAATCAAACTACTACGACAAACGGTTATCACGTCCATTTAAGTAATTTACTGGTTCCACAGTCGCTTTTGGCATTCCCAGCATGACACCCAGCGGAGGTGAATATGGTATTTTATTTTCATAATAAAAAAGAATACTTTATTGGTTGGCTACGAAAGAATCACATAAACATACTATTTTTAAATACAGAATCACCATGGATATTAAACGTCCAACAACCAGTATTTAACAGCAACTGTAATTTAGTAACGACACTATAGTAGACGAAACCTTCACAATTAAAGGGTCCAATAACTATTGCACGCCAAAGAACCTGGTTTAGGCACAAATGAAGTGCGCTCTATATATAAGGGCTTTAATGGCGAAGATAAATTTCACAGGGTGACCTAAACTTGGTCAGTTTATGATATGGTATAGGTTTGATTAGAAATCCTCTCCATATAGAACTCTTTACTACAACAGTCACCAATTAGACATAGATTATTGAAAAACGTCCAGTACCTTTAGTGATCCTCGCCTGGCTAAATTTTAGATTGTCATAATGTCACAAAAACCCACTTATTGTCCCTAGTAGTTTCGCATTCGATGTGGCCCATGTTGCGGTCAAATAGTTAAGAAGTAGGAAATCAACCAAAATCAGAAGCTAATATTTTATTGAGCACGGAAAGAGCTACCGGTTCTAAGGGCCGGTAAAAACTTGATTGAAAGCAAATGTCATTTATTCATGTAGGTAACTTAATGTACACTTATGTAATGGTGCTGTACCACTCGGCGAGACCTCTCCCATCTCACCAGAGGACCGAGAGAAGAGCCACCTTACACACTTTACGTTATTTGTATTTAAAACACCGTTAATAATGGACGTGGAAACCCTCTGCTTTTGTCTTTGTCAATAAGTTATTATAATTTTCTTCACTTTACCATAAAAAAATTACGAAGCCATGCGAAGAAGAAGATGGTGGATGGTTACTATGCACCGCAACAGAAATAGGTAATTAGGTTCATAAAGTTACGTCCACGGTACGTAGCCATGAGTGAATCTCGCTTTTTCTTTAGTTCCGGTCAATTGGGAATATCCATGGCCGGCTGATTCGCATCCAAGCATAATGTAGAGATTGTTTATTTTTTGTCCTAATCCTTCGGATTCCATAACAACGATTCCCTTTGGTAACACTACCAGAAACTCTAATTCGCGTTCGTTAGACCACATTGTGCGATACGTCCTGTCACAGACCACAGTCATCGAGCAAGTAATTGAAGGAGTGTACAGTCGCTCTCGTTTTACTCGCGAGACCCTTTGACCGTGCGCAAAAACCGACAGGCGACCGGGAGAGAGGCGAGACCGACTGCGAGGAAGGGAGGCGAGACAAAGCTCTACATGTACACTCTCGCCCTCGGCCTTAAACCCGGCAGGTTTTTCAAAACGTGTGTACAGCAACCATAAGAAAATACTTACATTTACTGCCAGTCCTCAAAAGGGCGTAAAACGAAAAAAACCCCCTAGCAATCCCCCACCCGCCAAGCTTTTACAAAAAGTTTGTAAGAAACCATTAGGCTACATCTCATCATCATTAAAGCAGTTTATTATTGTAATTAAATAAAGAATTAATAAATAAGAGAATCGAACGTTTCACCACGTTTCGTACAGTTGACGAGAAGAACTGGCAAAGAACTCCGTCGCTCCAACGTCTTTATTCGCCAAGTTCTTTTGTTTAAAAAATGGTTGTAAGCTATACCATTGCACTATGCTCGCCATGACAAGAACTTCAAAAACAGGCCCCACACTTTGCAACTTCCAATAGCGACAGCAATACCGAGGTTTTTTATGCAGTTGGAAGTAGTTAAATCTCTCAATTGGTTGATGAACCCTTTGGACCGTATTTATTACACTACTTATTTCTTTCTAATTGTATTAACTCTGTGATGATCTTGAGTATATAATGACAGATGAGTGCTTCAGATAAACAGTCCAATTAAACCTATTTTTGATTAATATGGGAGATAATATTTACCTTAGTTTACCAAGTTTAGGTCACCCTACTATCTATTTACTAGATTCTATTTTACTATTTCAATTATAATAATCGTATAGTTTTAATCTATAAAATGTCCAATTATTAAATATGCTTATTAATAATACGACCATATCTGTAACAGTACAAACACCATATCAGTTTATGCTATATGTTAATTTAAACTATGTTAAAGAAAATAGGTTTTTAACATGTACGATAATGTAATAAAAAACCTATGAACTTAAATAATGTTGATACCAGCAGTCTAAACTAAAAGGTGGGATTCAGAAACGACATTTAATGCAAAGTATGACAAAAATGTATTGAATTTAGTTCCGTTTCCAAATCACACCTTACGAAACGCACATAGCGTTTGAACTGCGGCTATCCTCCAGTAGAAATTTCTATTCAATTTAACACCTATGTATGTATGGCGAAGAAAAACATCGTGGTTACATGTCTTAGGTTAATCAGAGTCAGTAAAATACATAAATACTTAATATGAGAGCATACTTAAGTTAGGACACTGAATATTTCCAGTATAAAGCCAAAAAATCCGTGGCGTGAGGGAAATACACATTCATAATCACCTTACGTGAAAATTAACATAATACAAATAACATAACATAAAACAGTAATACGTCTCCTAGGTCCCTGCCCTGCGATTCTGTAACCCACTTTCACTGACCAGGGTTTTCGCTTCGGCGGTGCTCTCAAATAGTTATGCACTTTTGATTTGGCATTCTGAAAAGGGGGGAGCTATAGTTCCTGTGTGTGAGTTCGAAAAGTTCGAGTGACGAATCGCAGGTGGACTGGTGACAATTTTATTTTAAATTGTTGTGTATTTATTTTTATGTTTCCTTGCTGACTATTATTACATTAACATTTTTGTTTTAAGAAAGAGGTATTCTTTGTTTGTACTTTCAATACACCAGAAATTGTTAGGTAGCGTTTTAAGAATTTCGTAATTTAAAATATTATTAAACAATTAATGCTGTTCTGGATTGTTCTCGATATTAACAATAAAATCTTCTTCTACTTCCACTACGGCCTTTTATTTATATGCACCGGCAAAGCCGTTTGCCATGTCATTATATCATTTATGGTTATGGTGCCCCCTCACTCGACATAGAGGAAGGTAGTGTGTCGCGGACTTTTTTAGATATTTATAAGATCTACAATTACTTAGAACATTTTATGGTTATATCTTTAATAGTTTAGGAGGAAAAGCAAAGTAACTTTTTTGATTGATTTTTTACACCTTTGTCCAAAAACCCTAACTCTTACGGAACCCTATTTTTTTGTTCAAAATTAAATATAGCCTATATTACTCGTGGATAATGTAGCTTTCGAATGGTGAAAGAATTTTTAAAATCGGTCCATAGTTTATGAGCCTATTCATTACAATCAAACAAACAAACAAACAAACAAACAAACAAAGTTTTCCTCTTTATAATATTAGTGTAGAAAAACTAGTGTCGTTACAAACTTTGTAGGTCAGAACGTTCTGTCGAAAATTTTTTATACAAATTTAGTTCTTGACGTTTTCCATACACTACTGTTAAGGCATCTTGACTAAGGCCCCTGGTCTGTGTTGTTTCGTGTCATTTGTTTTTATTAATAAGCAAGTAAGTTATCAGTAGGTGCCTGTCACATGGCGTCGACAGGTCTTAAAAGCATCATGATGTTTTTATTCACCCTTCACCGTAGGAGCGAGTGTTAAGCCCTCGTAGAAAGTTCATTGGTGTACAGCCGGGATTCGAACTTACAATCATAGGGATGAGACTCGCACACTGAAGCCAAGGCAACACTTCAATACAACCTATAATAATTTCAAAACATTAATACATCTAAGCAGTAGTTTTAACTTATCGTGAAAAAACCAAGAGTTTCTTCGATCTGTACATCGAATTATTAAAAAATTGATAGTAAAGAAGGCATTGCTTTTTTCTTCTTCTTTATACTCCTATAGTAAGTGTTTACTTAATATGGAAGCAAATTGTTTTAAATATCACAACTGTCCTATAGACAAAGGCGGTAGCTGGTGCATCATCACACATTTAAGTTCTCTCCTTGTTCATAGGATAATGAAGAGGCGCCGGTATATTACAATTATAAAAGTACATAATATAATAAAGACGCCCGGTTGTAATCACAAATTTTAACATAATATTGTATTTAAGCATAACCTATAGTCTATGCATACACACTCTGGCTGAAGGCATGACTTCAACTGTCAAATAGTAACAGTGTCAAAAATGGCTGTCCAAAATCAAAACAAAATGTCCGATAGAAAGGAATAAAGCTTTCATTATTCCTTTAAAAAAATAATTTTAGAAAAACAGGAAAATGAAGGAGTTGGACATAAATATCGAAGGATATAATGTAAACGGTATATGTGTTGGCTGTCTCAACTACGACAGAAAAATGTTTTACAGAAATGAAGTGAAAGAAGCGTTTAAAATTATCGGTGAAATCGAAGTAAGTTTAAAAATGATTGCTTTTTATGCTTTTATGGCCTTCAATATTATTATAGAAAAAACTTTACTATAATGTTTTACTATATTTTAGTCATAAATAATATTAAAAGTTTCTTACAATATAGTTTTATTGGGAACAGAAAACCTTAGATCCGCCATTATACTTAAAAATTACTTCGTCGTTCTTGAACTTCTATCATAAATATGTATTTTACAGCTTTCCGCTGCCTAAGCAAGAGTAATTATATTTATTATCTTACCCTCGTATTTGGAGTTGCTATTGATTTTTGAGTATCAATTTAGTTTAAATCTTTAGTTCCATAAACCTTAGCAGCCTGTTTACATTACTATTACATTAAAAACTTTTAATTTGAGACTTCAACTCATTTTCAGGTGCCAGATGGTCTCTCCATACAAGTTTGCTGGGAATGCCTAGCGGCTGTACAAAATTTAATGAAATTCCGACAGAGAGTTCTTAACTCTTATGATGTCCTTATTAAATATTCACGTGATGTATGTCATATAACATTTTAAATCTGTCTATTTACCGTTTTGGTTTAGCCTGTTAAATTTCTTCATTTCTTGCATAAATAATTTACATTGAGTAGGACCAATTTTTTTCTAAACCGGCAAAAGACTAACACATATCTGCATTTTGGCTTACATCTTATTAGGCAGCTACAAAATAATAATAATTTAAATTTCAGTATCCTTTCCTAAATTCTCCACATGATTTATCACAACATGCAACAACTAAATTGGGCACACATGTGAATAATCATGAAGTGACCTATGAGGAACAAGTCGTTGAGTTCACCATTAAAGAAGAAGTTGTTAAGGAAGAGGATTGTGATGGAATAAGTAAGCCACTTCTCTTTTTTATTACAATTTGCATTTAAAATAACAAAAGTCTCCTTACATTAGTATCTTAGGGTAATCGTAATAGTATATAACAAAAAAATATTTCATAAAAAAAATTATTTGCCTCTTAGACATTTAAAATAAACAATACATTATGTTTACAATGGGCATTTATACGGGGGGCGGACAGGCGCGGAAGACACAGACAAGACAGCCCACCATTGCCCCACCCCCCCTCCTGTGTCCCGGGGAGCCCCCCACCCAACCCCCCCCGCCCAAAGGAAGGAAGGAGGCCACACGCCACCTTTGTTTTTTCATTGGTTTGTGTGCTGGGCCCCCCCCTCCGAGTGTGTGGTGGGGGGGGCTCTGCCCGGGCAGGGGGGCCGGGGGGGCCGGTTGGCAAATAGGGAAAACGGGAGGGGGGGGGGCGGAGTTGGGGTTTTTGTTTATGAAAAAGGGTAAAGGAAAGGTAAGGGTTTTTTAAAAAAAAAAAAGGACAAATAAAAGGTTGTGGGGGGGGAAATAAAACCCCCGGGGGGGGGGTTGTTTGGTTTTGGGGGGGGGGGGGCCGGCCACCCCCCGCCGGGGGGCAAAAAAAAAAGGATCGAAGGGGGGGGCCGGGGAAGGGGGCCCGGGGGGGGGGGGGGGGGGGGGGGGGGGGGGAAGGGAAAAAAAAAAAAGGGGGCGGGGGCGGGGGGGGCGCCCCCCCGGGGCCCCCCCAAAAAAAAACCCCCCCCCCCCCCGGCAAGGGAAAAAAGGGGACCCCAACCCCCCCCCAAAAAAAAAGGAAAGGGGGGGGGCAGGGGGGGCAAAACCGGCGCCAAAAACGGGCCCAAAAAAAGAAGGGGGGGGGGCCCCGGGGGGCCAACAGGCGAAAAAAAAAAAACAAAAAAAAACCAAGGGGAAAAAACCCGGGCGGGGGGGGGGGGGGGGGGGGGGGGGGCGCCGCCGGGCGCCAAAACCCCCGCAAAAAAAAAAGGGGGGGGGGGGGGGGGCGGGGGGGGGGGGGGGGGGGGGGGGAAAAAAAAAAAAAAAAAAAAAAAAGAGGAAAAAACCCCGGGGGCAAAAAAGGGGGGAAAAAAGGGGGGGGGGGAAAGGGGAAAGGCCCAAAAAAAAAAAAAAAAAAAAAAAAACCAAAAAGCGGGGGGGGGGGGGGGGGGCAAGGGGGGGGGGGGGGGGGGGGGGGGGGGGGGGGGGGGGGCCCCCGCCCCCCCCCCCCCGGGGCGGGGGGGGGGGGGGGGGGGGGGGGGGGGGGGGGGGCCCCCCCCCACCACCCCCCCGGCGGCGGGGGGGGGGGGGGGGGGGGGGGGGGGGGGGGGGGGGGGCCAGGGCCGCCGGCGGGGGGGGGCCCCCCAACCCCGGGGGGGGGGGAAGGGAGAAAAAAAAACAAAAAAAAAGGGGGGGGGGGGGGGGGGGGGGGCAGAAAAAAAGGAACCCCCGCGGCGCCCCCCCCCCCCCCCCCCCCCCCCCCCCCCCCCCCCCCCCCCGGCGGGGGGGGGGCGGGGGGCCCCGGGGCCCGGGGGGGCGGGGCGCGGGGGGCCCCCGCGGGGGGGGGGGGGGGGGGGGGGGGGGGGGGGGGGGGGGGGGGGGGGGGGGGGGGGGGGGGCCCCCCCCCCCCCCCCCCCCCCCCCCCCCCCCCCCCCCCCCCCCGGGGGGGGGGGGGGGGGGGGGGGGGGGGGGGGGGGGGGGCCGCCCCCGGGGCCGGGGGGCGGCCAAAAACCCCCCCCCCCCGGGGGGGGGGGGGGGCCCCCCCCCCCCCCCCCCCCCCCCCCCCCCCGGGGGGGGGGGGGGGGGCGGGGGCGCCCCCCCCCCCCCCCCCCCCCCCCCACCCCCCCCCCCCCCCCCACAAACCCCCCCCAAACCCCCCCCCCACCCCGCGGCAAAAAAAACCCCCCCCCCCCACCCAAAAAAAAAACCCCCCCCCCCCCCCCCCCCCGCCGCCCCGCGCGCGGCCCCCCCCCCCCCGGGGGGGGGCGGGGCCCCCCCCCCCCCGGCCCCCCCCCCCCCCCCCCCCCCCCCCCCCCCCGGGGGGGGCCCCCCCCCAAACCCCCCCCCAACCCCCCCCCGGGCCCCCCCCCCCCCCCCCCCCCCCCCCCCCCCCCGGGGGGGGAAAAACCAACCCCCCCCCCCCCCCCCCCCCCCCCCCCCCCCCCCCCCCCGGGGGGGGCAACAAACCCCCCCCCCCCCCCCCCCCCCCCGCCCGGGGGGCCCCCGGGGGGGGGGGGGGGGGGGGGGCCCCCCCCCCCCCCCCCCCCCCCCCCCCCCCCCCCCCCCCCGCGAAAAAAAACCCCCCCCCCCCCCCCCCCCCCCCCACCCCCCCCACCCCCCCCCCCCACCCCCCCAAAAAAAACCCAACCAACCCCCCCCCCCCCCCCCCCCCCCCCCCCCCCCCCCCCCCCCCCCCCCCCCCCCGCGGCCCCCCCCCGCCCCCCCCCCCCCCCCCCCCCCCCCCCCCCCCCCCCCCCCCCCCCCCCCCCCCCCCCCCCCCCCCCGCCGGCGGGGGGGGGGCCCCCCCCCCCCCCCCCCCCCCCCCCCCCCCCCCCCCCCCCCCCCCCCCCCCCCCCCCCCCCCCCCCCCCCCCCCCCCCGCCCCCCCCCCCCCCCCCCCCCCCCCCCCCCCCCCCCCGCCCCCCCCCCCCCCCCCCCCCCCCCCCCCCCCCCCCCCCCCCCCCCCCCCCCCCCCCCCCCCCCCCCCCCCCCCCCCCCCCCCCCCCCCCCCCCCCCCCCCCCCCCCCCCCCCCCCCCCCCCCCCGCGGCCCCCCCCCCCCCCCCCCCCCCCCCCCCCCCCCCCCCCCCCCCCCCCCCCCCCCCCCCCCCCCCCCCCCCCCCCCCCCCCCCCCCCCCCCCCCCCCCCCCCCCCCCCCCCCCCCCCCCCCCCCCCCCCCCCCCCCCCCCCCCCCCCCCCCCCCCCCCCCCCCCCCCCCCCCCCCCCCCCCCCCCCCCCCCCCCCCCGCCCCCCCCCCCCCCCCCCCCCCCCCCCCCCCCCCCCCCCCCCCCCCCCCCCCCCCCCCCCCCCCCCCCCCCCCCCCCCGCGGGGGGGGGGGGCGCCCCCCCCCCCCCCCCCCCCCCCCCCCCCCCCCCCCCAAAAAACCCCCCCCCCCCCCCCCCCCCCCCCCCCCCCCCCAAAACAAAACCCCCCCCCCCCCCCCCCCCCCCCCCCCCCCCCACCCCCCCCCCCCCCCCCCCCCCCCCCCCCCCCCCCCCCCCCCCCCCCCCCCCCCCCCCCCCCCCCCCCCCCCCCCCCCCCCCCCCCCCCCCCCCCCCCCCCCCCCCCCCCCCCCCCCCCCCCCCCCCCCCCCCCCCCCCCCCCCCCCCCCCCCCCCCCCCCCCCCCCCCCCCCCCCCCCCCCCCCCCCCCCCCCCCCCCCCCCCCCCCCCCCCCCCCCCCCCCCCCCCCCCCCCCCCCCCCCCCCCCCCCCCCCCCCCCCCCCCCCCCCCCCCCCCCCCCCCCCCCCCCCCCCCCCCCCCCCCCCCCCCCCCCCCCCCCCCCCCCCCCCCCCCCCCCCCCCCCCCCCCCCCCCCCCCCCCCCCCCCCCCCCCCCCCCCCCCCCCCCCCCCCCCCCCCCCCCCCCCCCCCCCCCCCCCCCCCCCCCCCCCCCCCCCCCCCCCCCCCCCCCCCCCCCCCCCCCCCCCCCCCCCCCCCCCCCCCCCCCCCCCCCCCCCCCCCCCCCCCCCCCCCCCCCCCCCCCCCCCCCCCCCCCCCCCCCCCCCCCCCCCCCCCCCCCCCCCCCCCCCCCCCCCCCCCCCCCCCCCCCCCCCCCCCCCCCCCCCCCCCCCCCCCCCCCCCCCCCCCCCCCCGGGGGGGGGGGGGGGGGGGCCCCCCCCCCCCCCCCCCCCCCCCCCCCCCCCCCCCCCCCCCCCGGGGGGGGGGGCCCCCCCCCCCCCCCCCCCCCCCCCCCCCCCCCCCCCCCCCCCCCCCCCCCCCCCCCCCCCCCCCCCCCCGCGGGGGGGGGGGGGGGGGGGCGGGGGGGGGGGGGGGGGGGGGGGGGGGGGGGGGGGGGGGGGGGGGGGGGGGGGGGGGGGGGGCGCGGGGGGGGGGGGGCGCCGGGGGGGGGGGCCGGGGGGGGGGGGGGGGGGGGGGCCGCGGGGGGCGGGGGGGGGGGGCGCAGGAGGAGGGGGGGGGGGGGGGGGGGGGGGGGGGGGGGGGGGGGGGGGGGGGGGGGGGGGGGGGGGGGGGGGGGGGGGGGGGGGGGGGGGGGGGGGGGGGGGGGGGGGGGGGGGGGCGGGGGGGGGGGGGGGGGGGGGGGGGGGGGGGGGGGGGGGGGGGGCCGGGGGGGGGGGGGGGGGGGGGGGGGGGGGGGGGGGGGGGGGGGGGGGGGGGGGGGGGGGGGGGAAAAGTATCCACAAACTTCCATAATCCCGCTTCCAGACAATGTATTAACAAATTTTATATATAAACCAAGTGTTAAAATATTACCAACAATACAAATTTTATATTAAAATATTTTAAAAATTAAATATTCTTAACATATCTTTGTTGTGAACTTCATTGTGTGTTCTATAGAATATTTCAGTTTAGCTAGAGTTTCAGTTAGGTGTGGTGTAATAGATTAAGTTGATTCCTTACAGATATTGATGTAAAGGATGAATCCTATGATATGCGAGACACCTTTGACACACAGTCATCAGAAGATGACACATTTTTGGTAGAATTAAAGAAAGAAGGGACAGATAAAAAGAGAAAGAGAGAAAAAAAGAAGAAAAAAGAGAAGGTAATAATCTTTTATTTCAAGTAATACAATACAAAAATAGTCCCACTAATCAAAATTTTTCTTTAGATTAAATCACCTGTGTTAAAAAACCGTTTAAAAAACCTCCCACAAGAAATAGTCGAATTATACACAATGGATGAACAGGAAATGTGGTCAGTTAGATCGCAAGATGTCGCCAGTGAAGAGTTTGCTAAAGTCAAACACAAATGTGAGGATTGTGTGAGAATATTTGCAACACAGAAGTTGATGGATTATCATATAGCTGGAAAACACTCACCGGTAAGTGTTTAAGTTTCGGTAAATGGAGCAAAGACAAATCTTTACAAAAGTGATTTTATTTGTTGAACCTTTTATTTTGTTATTTCTGTTAGTTATTTTTTAACTAATTTGTATTCAAAAGGAGTTTACAATTCAACAAATATTTTGTATGCAAATAAAATGTAAAGTGTTCTGTTTTAATTCTTAAATAATTGTAAAAAAAAAACTATTTCTCCTTACGAACAACTTTTGTGCAAAAAGGTTGTGCCTTTCATGTTTAAAGTTTTAAATATATTTTTCAGAAAGACAAAACCTCAATACAATGTGATGTATGCAAAGCATATTTTATTAATAAGGAAAATATATCAGTTCATCGGAATCAACATTTCAGTGCTTACAAGTAAGTAACAGCTCGTGTTAGAAATGTATTGCAAGTGATTAATTATTGTTTCCTAGTTATTAGTTTCACTATAAACAATTCATATGTATTTATATATTAATTTTACATTTTCTTAAAGAAACATGATATAAATTCTGAAATGTCTTTTGATTTATAAAAATAAACAAATCTTATATAGTTATATGAACTTCTTATACTGAAAATATAGTATGAATGAACTAAAAATATGTTCCATTTGCCATATTATAGCTCAAAAGTTTGATTTAATGTTCAATATTTTTTTTCAGATGTCAAATATGCGGTCTAGTTACAACATTAAAAGGAGTTATGTCGAGACATGATTGTGCAAAACCGTCAGTCGGATATGTCTGCTCCATATGTAATAAAGATTTTAGGTAAGATTGGAACCTTTTTTATTCAATTCTATAAAAAAAATTAGAGTAATTTATTTGATTTCAACAATATTAATAATAATGGTAGATAAATAGTGGAATATTTATGTTGTAGTTTTATTTAAAAAAATATTTAATTTGATGTTGGGTAAATATTCCGTATTAAATATGTAGTCATATATAAGTCGTATATAATTTAAATCCAGGTCTTTTACAAAAACCTCAATATTGGTTCATTAGTTTTTGATATATTTTCCCGTTAGTTCAAACCTAGTAAATATTGTTTTGAAGCAGGTTTTTATTTTATTTCAGTACAAAGTCAAAACTGGTTTATCATAGAAGCATCTGCAATGAAGAGAGACCTCAATGTGATTGCTGTGGAAAGGTGTTTGCTAATAAGATCACACTTAAATCTCATCTTAAGTGAGTAATTACATTTAATATAGGTATCAAGAATCTTATAAAGTACTAGCCGTTTCGCGCCCGCTTTGCTGGACGAATTAAAATAAATTTTATGTTTCATTATTTTATTTTTTTCATATTTTTATTATTCTTCTTTTTAACTTCCCGCTAAGAAAATTGAAAGATTTCGAAAATCGAGTTTTTAACAGATGTTGACGTTTAGAGGTTCTAGGAAGCCTCCCCGAATGTTTCCGCGGTGAAGTCCGTATGTATAAATTTTCATAAAAGTAAAACAGCAATAAAAAAATGAAGGAACGTTGGAATTTAATAAATAAATAGCCATAAACCATCAAGGAAATCGCATCGAATGGTGGTAGTTTCATGTCGATACGATCAGTGGTTTAGGCGTGATTGACCTCAAACGAAGACCATTTTCATTATATATATGATATATATAGATAACCGAAAATGTACTTACAATTTAAAAAAGTTTTGTTTTGTTATTGTACTTCAAAATGTCAATGTCAAGTGGAAGTGACATATTGCGTAATGTCAGTGTCAGAGGTGCTACCATTCAGTTCGGAGCCTCTAACCAGTAGTAGGACTTACATAGGGGAAGATATATGATTATACGAAGTGTGAGCTGATGGCGCAGCGGTGGATTACTGGTTGGGGGGCGGCGAACTAACTGTTTGACTCTAAATGATTGAAGATTGCTACACCAAATGTACAATGACAAGTAATAGGGATAAGTCATCAGCAACATTTTTGCAGACTTCTATCTGAAAACATCAGAAAACCTCAGAATCTTGTAGGAATAAATAATTCGCTGCCCAAATTTGCCGCCCTAGGCTCCAGCCCAGCTGGTAAATCCGCCACTGTTTAGCACGATTTCTCTTTAGCCTCAAAATAGGCTTCAGTTTCGGCGATTACCTCCATCAGCGCAAAATTACAGGAACAAGTCGAGTAAATATGGAGAATACGGTGGAATAAATTCGGGTTTATCAAACAGCTTCAAACTCTGCTCAGAATTATCGATTCGTTGTTATTTTCATCGATTGTGAGCACGGAACCCACATTGAACAGAGCTTTCGCATATCCAAATCCATCTAGGATATGTCCAACATGTTCCTTTGATATCTTTAGAGCAGAGTTCCCCAATTTTTTTGTGTCGTAGACCCCAACTTACCTGATATTGATTTCCTGTAAATTTCTAACTGTAGCGAAGTTTAGTGTTACAAATTTAAAGTAAACACAATTTATACATTTATTAATTGAATTTAAATTAAAACTACTCAAAATAAAATTTTGTATCTGTTACGTAAAATATACGTAGCATTAAATAAACAATAAATAAAATAACATAAGCAATAAGTCAATATAATGTATATGTTTTGATTATAAGATAGTATGATGTAAGTAAATAGGTACTATCAGTGTCGTGGACCCCCATTTTCATTTCATGGACCCCCAAATAATTATTTTCGCTTACGTAGACCCCTCGCAGGTTGTCATAGACCCCTAGGGGTCGATATAGACCACTTTGGGAATCACTGCTTTAGAGTATAAAATACTGCAATTTGGATCACATAAAGTTTGTCTTCAGAGCGCCCATAAGAACTGTGCTCTACCCTACGTCTGAATTCATTGGTTAGGGCTAATTAAAAATCACATTTATTTAATACTAGTAGCGCCATCTATGTCAGTCTACTTTTTTCAGTAGACACACACAAATACATACCCTATTCGCTTTCCGTAATATATTGTCTGTAAACGTTTTAAAAATTGTGTATGTAAGTTTTCTATATATATTTTCAATTTTCAGGGCGATGTCAGGATCTCCAACAACGAAGAAACCGACTAAAAGTATGCTCATACCATGTAAAGGGTGTGATAAAGTTTTCTATTCAGGGAAGAGCTACAGGGCGCATGTGTAAGTTTTTTTTTAAATTGATATGAGACAAATAAGACCACTGATTTTTGAAGTTATAAGAATGTTGAGAGTAAATTTTTACCCCGCGCACACCGTCACAGAAAACCGACACCCTGAAATTAGCATAGTCAACATTTTAGTTTTTTCTATTGTTAGTGTCGTTTTTTCTACAAACATAGAGTAAGGCTAAGTTCAGATGACCGCGCGTTGCCGCGCGTCGCCGCGCGGTTGGAGCATTCACATGACGGTATATGTACGCGCGCCAGTGTGGCTTCAACATTGATTGACAATGGACGTGGAGGAGGCAATTTGCTTATGGATTTTATATAGAAGACTGAGACGTCGCAGAAGAAGACAAAGACGATACTGGGTGCATCCAATTTTAAGTGGCAGACTTTCTTCCAGCCTGTTTGTCACTTTGTATCCCGACTTGAGGTTACACGAAGATAATTTTTTTAACTATTTCCGGATGTCAGTTGCATCCTTTGATTTTTTATACGATTCTATTGAAAATGATTTAAAATCCAGTGAAGATGCTATAAGATATTGCATATCACCAAATACCTACCAACTGAACAGGTCGATACAGGTTTGCAAAACTTGTGCCGCGCGCAGCCGCGTGGAAGCGCGCGGGTCGGAGCGCGCCGCGCGTTGGCGTGCGGTACCGCGCGGTAATGTAGACGATAATTACCGTTTATATTGATCTTGTACCGCGCGGCCATATGAACTAAGCCTTAAATTATTGAAAAGATTTTTATCTTGTTACGCCAAAGAAGTATTACTTCTAACGTGTAAATTAATTTTTCAGCGTAATCCACGACGGACTGAACTACCCGTGCCCCATATGTGGTAAGCTGTTTCTATGGAAGCGGAATCTCGCAAGGCACACCCGGAATCACCGGGAAAAAGAATCGGGGACCATGCACCAATGTAGGGATTGTGGGAAAACATTTTCCAGTCGGGATTGTTATAATAATCATATGAAACTCAGCAAGAAACATGTCCACGAAAGTGCTTTAAGGTATAGAAAATTTAATTGTTGTGAGGGTAGAACAAAAAAATTATTTAAAATATTTTTTAATTTTTTTTGTATTTAAGGGGGCAAACAGGCAGAAAGCTCGTCTGATGTTAGGTGCCCCATGGACACTCACATTACCAGAAGGCTCATGAGTACTTTGCCGACCTATAAAATTCCCCATTTTAATGGCCCGTTACTAATAGACTATCCGGTCCGGTAATCGTTGTTTTTAAGATTGAACAGTGAAAATTATCAAATATATTTTTTAATTCTTCAAACAGACATAGAAAATATTTTATTGTATTGCCACCCTTATCACTGGTGTAGAAAAAAGTTTACGACCTGAATATACAGAAAATTTATGAATTTCGGTCAATATCGGCCGTTTTGAGGTTTTATATAAAAGAGAATTTGTCAGATTTTCAGTTTTTTTTTTGTTAAAAAAATTAGATAACCCCTTAACCATGATTTAGAATCAGAGCTGATCACCAAAGGACTCTTAGGGCCAGTTTTTTGATCCGTAGTAAAAAATGGTTTTACCATTTGTTACATTAACTATAGTTAAATGAATAACCATTGGTAAAATCGTAAATGCGTTTTTCAATGCCTTTTTTAACTATAGTTAAACTTAACAATTTGTCAATTTGTTGCCAGTGCAATGAGCAATGACATCCCAAAAAATGTGGTTCTTTTTTGTGGGGAACATTTATTTTGTATGACAACACTAGACATATTGAGTGAATGAAATCCATTTTTGCCATCTTCATTCGTTATTTGCGCTTTGAAGAGTTTGAAGTGTCAAATTAATCTAAATAACACGATATAAATAAAGTTGTTTTTTTGTGATTTAATACGGTTTACACTTTTTACGATACTTAAATATATAAATAACGATGTCCGCAAACAGCCAACGGTCAAATAAGTAAGTACAAACATATTTTCGTGTTATTTATTCCGGTTTATCTTGTGTTTCGTAATAGAAAGTAATACATTTATGTTTTGTTAAAGGGACCATACTGCTAACTTCGCCAAAAAGAAACTGCCAAACTGGTGATGCTTCTTAAGGATTACACAGTCGTAACCTGCAAACAACTGATCACTGCAGCAATCTACAAAAAGATGCAGCTTGGAAATCTCTGTGACGTTTTCAACTCAGATGGGTCTAGACACCGAAGTGTTAAATTTAATATACATTTAATGAAGGTGTAGGCACATTTTTATATTTATTCTTGTATAGCTGTGTCCTACAGCAAAAGGAAAAAATCTTTTAACCCTTTGGAAACAAGGAAGCGGATTATGATCCACATGGATAAAAAAAATTGAGTTTTTGAAACAAAGACAAATAAGAGAGGATGATTTGTTCAATTATGCTAAGGAAGAGCATCATAAACATTTGCTGCACCAATGAGAGGCCCACCAAAAATTCATACTGCATAAAGAGGAGGTGCACCAAAAAGTGATGCAGCAGATGGAAGAAAGGCACAATAAATATATGTAGCAGCAAAAAGAGTTGCATCAAATTAAGGTGAAATGCAAGAAGAAACAATTAGAAAATATTTAATTGCTACTTTAGGGTTTCATGTAAATTTTGTAATGTTTTTTTAATAAAAATGGTTTGTATTTAAGTTATAATTAAACAGTTTATTAATCAAGTCAAATGTTTTATTTATAAATTCTTGTAATAAAGTAGGTAGTTGCTAACTCACAAATGTAATAAAAGCCCTAAAGAATATCATAGGTCCTTAACTAATGTGTAGCTGTAGATTTTAGTATAAGTACATACTTGTATGTGCTTATAATAATTATAAGTTAATATTATTAGTAATATATAAATAATATTAACTCTAATTCATTATGTATTCTATTGCCTATAATATTAACTTATGATAATTAGAAGTTAATATTATAGGCAATAAAACACATAATGAATTAGTAATATACTTAATTATATACCGCTGCGGTTCTGTAGCTAGTAATGAAGCAAAATAGGTTTGTATGAGCTGCTGTCTATATATACTCTTGTTCTTGTATTTTATTTAATTATAATAATTATAAGTTAATATTATAGGCAATAAAACACAATGAATTAGTATTATACTTAATTATATACTGCTGCGGTTCTGTAGTTAGTAATGAAGCAAAATAGGTTGGTATGAGCTGCTGTCTATATATACTCTTGTTCATTGGCAGTTTAAGATCATTCCCAATTTCAGTAACAATCCAGAGCACTGTTCCCTTCGATAGGGGGTAACAGTGACAAAAATCTACATCATCCCAGGTTTCTAATGGCGGATGACATTGCCTAAATATTTTTGGTCACTCATTAACACATTCTCATATAATATTATCGTCTTCTTCATCGTCTCATTAATTAAAGTATCTCAATATGTTTAAATTCATCATTAGATAGTAATAAACGTATTTATCATAGTTTGATTTCTGTGACAAACAGCTGTTACTATATAAATTACCAGCGGCCATCTTTTTAACCCTCCGATACTGAGTAGTTAACTTTTTTGACTAATGGTTAGATATTTTACCATTGGATGCTCTTACCACGGATCAAAAAACGCATTTTGCTGATATTTAACTAATAGTAACGATTTTTTACCAATAGTTGAGTTAACTACGGATCAAAAAACCGGCCCTTAATCGTATAACAGTCCCTCGTACAATGTTTCCTGATAGGTCGGCAACGCACTCGCGAGCCCTCTGGCATTGAGTGTCCATCCGTATCACCTAATATCAGGTGAGCCTATTGCCTTTGACCTGTCAGACCTGTGTCAGGCACAGAAGGCCGAAGAAAGGAAGAATATAAAAGTTCGGTTTTTCAGCCACGCGTGCCAGTACTGCAACAAGCGATTTGCAGCGAAATGGTGTATGGTGGATCACATCGACTGGGAACATCTCAAGCGCATTAAATATAGATGTCAAGTGTGCTATAAGGTATTTATGTTAAAGTAATGATTTATGTGTGGCAGTCCTATGTTTGGATTAGCCAACTGACTTTAATTTATATTTTTATTTTAATTATTCACGCACTTGTAACTCTAAACAATTTTACTAGGATACGTACGTTTTTCGAAAATATAGCTTTAAGACAACAATATAAATAAAATAAAAATAAATCAGCGGCGCGACAACCTTTTAGGTCTGGACCTCAGATTTTTGTATCTGTTTCATGATTTGTCAATCTAATAGTCAAGTTGGTGATCAGCCTAGATATCAGATATTATTTACGATTGATTCCCAAATATTTTAAATATAAATACTGAAAAATCATTTTTTTTAAATCCACAGATTTCTTGTAAATTCAACTTATTTCGTAGCTCTATGAAATCCACTAGTAGATAACGTCTCGTAGTTGAATATTGGATTTGGAAAGTGTCTTCAAAAAATTAAAGTCTAAAAATGGAGTAATATTTTATTTTTGTGTTAATTTATGTTCATAATAGTCATGTATTTTAGAATAGATTGTAACATATACTGTAGATATAGCATTATATATTAAATATTTTTATTACAGCCTTTCAAAACTGCTAAGATAATGATGGCTCATATGAATAATATACATGAGGGTAGAAACAAAATGGAGCCAGAGAGTGAGCATTTGTGTGAGATCTGCGGGAAATCTTATAAGGTATGATTTGTGTGGTACCCTCATTTTTCAAGAAATCTATATATATAAAAATGTTATGTTGGTTTGTGTACGCTTCAAAAACTCAAAAAGTTCTGCACCGATCGAGCTGAAATTTTAGCATGATATATATAATCCGCATCAAGGTTACGAAGAATTATTTTTCGTCTACTCTCTTGATTGGCATCAAAAAAATAAGGGATGTTTATTGAAGTTCTTTAGGTGCATGAGGGTAATATTTTTACGGTACGTCACGAAGATGTGCAGCGTTTTTGTCGAAGTAAAGGGAGAGATTGAGAAGGGCGAATGAATGATTATCTTTATGAATTACCAGAATTTATGAAGTATTAGCATTTTATATTTTATGCAAAATAATTTATTGAAATCTCAAATGACGAATTGTAAATTAAAATGCCACGTGTTTTTATTACCGAAGAAATAAATTTATTTTTTGGATTAATTTTCGACACTTAATGATAATTAAAGTCCTATCATATCTCGGAAATGTAAAGTTTTAGATTTGTATAAATATGAACAAGACTTAAAAATTTGTTTGCCAAAGAAGTTTCACTTCTGACATGTGTACTTTGTACGCACGAATTTTTTAAATATCTCATAACACTAAGTAATCTTTTTTTCAGACTGTGAAACGGCTGAAGGGCCACGTATGGGCCATGCACACGAACCGCACGGACACGAAAAGCTTTAAGTGCTCCTTCTGCCCCGCCACCTTCGCCTGGCAGACCTCCATTTATAAGCACATGCGCATGATGCACGACAATAAGCGAAAAGTGAGTTTTTCAAGTTATAATTCTTTTGGCGCGTTAGGGAAGAATAATGAGATTACCCTGAATATCAAACGTCGGTAAAACAGTCTGGGCCGCTAGTTGGCGCTTGGTCTGTTTTATCGACAAGTTACATTGTCTGTCATGGCGTAGAGTTCAGAGTCGTGTTTATTGAAACCAAAATAATGATTTCTATACAAGAAAACCCGTTCCAATGTGATAAAAAACTGAGTGTGAGTGTAATATATCATAAATAATACGTATTAGATTGTTTCGATTGGAAGTGACCATTAAAATGGACGAGAAAAATGCAATTCGAAGAGGGAAACGTCCCTCTAAGTCTAAAGTGTTCGAAGAAAATTATTATTATTTAAGAAGTTTAACCAAATCGTTTTTTTAATGAGTTTTTAGATTGCTTAAACAAATAATACAGGGTAGGCCGAACACAGTGGTGCCAACTTTGGGGTTTCCCCCAAAAAAAAAAAAAATAACATCTGGGGGTCCTGGGGGGGTTTCCCCCTCAAATTTAGGGAGAATATTTAGTTATATGAAAACACTGATTTTTTTAAATTGAATTATATTATTAATTATACAAAAGGTTAAGAAAAATTCATTGCCTCAATCGGGTTTCAGACTCCCTGTCCGTTCGTTTCAAATCTGCTAAATTTTTGTTAAATGTTATGTATTTTTCAGCAATCACGCGCGCTCCCAAAGAAGCAAGATTCGTATGAAGTGGAAATCGCGAATCGCATGCAATATTTCCCGCAGAACATCAATATAGGGCAGATACAACCAATTAATATTGTGCAGAATATATAAGAAACCATCTGTGGTATTGTGTGTTCTGTGATTCGAACACACGGACGTACGGAATTTGTTTTAAAACATTTTTAAACCAGCGCCCTCTAGCGGCTGAAATATCACTTCCAACCTACACAAACTACAATTACCTAGTCTTATTGGACTAAATATACCGTGTTTGTTTGTATAAAACCTCAGTATTTTAATTATTATTTCTGTGTGAATTTGTGTGTTGTGAACACACAATCGTAATACAGAATTAATTAACAAAACTTTTTTAAAACAATGCCGTCTAGCGGCAGAATATAGACATAAAATTCAAACACATAAATGGCCTTATTTGACTAAATATACCGTGTTTGTATATTTAAAACCCCCAGTATTTTTAATTATCATTTCTGTGTGCGATTGTGTGTTCTGTGTTTCGTACACACGACTACACTATACAGAATTTATGTAAAAAAAATACTTTTTGAAACAGCGCCCTCTAGCTGACACAAATGGAAACATACAAAAACTACAATGACATACAGCCTTATTTGACTGTAAATACCGTGTTAGTTAACATGGTATCCATACTGTTCTTTAAACCGGTTGCCATGGTAACGGTAAAAGTATGTTTAGGATTACTGATGCCATATTAGTTATTACCCCTATATTTATAAAATTTATTGCACCGTTTAAACTAAGTTTTTCTGTCCCTTTTCATTACAGAATAAACACAATTTGAAAGAAAGAGACAAAGTACTTTAGAGTACAATTTGTTTTTTAAATAAGACGGTAGATAGTTTTAAAATAATCTTATTTTGTATTTATAAGTGTAGTATATAGATTTTTATAGAATCGGTGATAATCCGATAAAATATTTTAATCGAATAAATTTGTCGATGATTAAAATATGTTTTAATTTCTGTTATACCCTCAAAAAAAACTTAGAATACGAATTAGAAGGACATGATTTAATTTATTTAAAAAAGCCCTATAAGCCGCTTAAAAGCCGCCGCTTTAAAGGCCGGCAACGCACCCACTAAAATGAAACCTGAACTCCTAGGTTGGTTTCTGCAGAGGGAATTCGGAAAATTCTGCTGATTTTAAATCTTGGAAATGAATCAGTAGGTACAGTTTGTCCTGTAAGAGGTTACTGTTCTGGTTTTGACCATTTATCAATTTACTATAAAAATTTTGCTCTTAAGCCGGGCGCATACATACTGATTCCGGATCAGGTTTCCGTATCAGGGTTTCAGATTCGGAAACCTGAATTGTCCGCGTGCATACAAAATGTTCGACAAGGCGCACACCGTTCTTACTTTTTCCGGACAGAAAAAAACCTGACGTTCGGTTCGGAATTTCTCCGTGCGTTCGTTTTGGAAGAACGGGAAAAAACCTGATGACGTCACCCCGAACGCAGCATTCGCATACATTTTGGCTCGATCGCCGCACACGTACGGAAATTTTCATTCAGAATCGCGTTGGCGCTGTGCCGAGTAGACGTACGACGTGAAACGCTCTCCGTCAGCTGTCAAAAAAAAAAAATGTGCGAAGCCGAGAATTTGATAATGAGTGTTGAAAAACACCAATGCATATGGGATATAAATCACGCGGATTATCATAACCGTGATATGAAAGATTTGGCCTGGGAACAGATATGTAAAGATCTTATTCAGGATTGGGAAACGTGCACATATAAAGTAAACAAATGTTAGTATTTTAATATTCCTTTATTGTTGAATCAATTTGGATTAATAATACTTTCATTGTATTGGTATGACAGTTCTCCTTCCAGCGAGACGAAATACTCGGCGAAATTATCTCGTATAGTTCTGCCTCGGTTTGTAGATTGTCGTGCAGAACGGAATGGAAAATCCTCGAAGTAATGTGCCAATGTATCTTTAAAATTATAACCATCTCGTCTGCGTACAAAATTATGCAATACGCATGCTGTCTTCGTTATTAGAACAGCAAAATCTGGTGGAATTGTCATACTTGTATGAAAAATCCTCCACTTATTTGAAAGAATGCCGAAAGCACATTCAACTATTCGTCGAGCTCGACTCAATCGATAGTTAAAGATTCGACGTTGATTATTGAGGTTCTGTCTTGGATAAGGTTTCAAAAAATTATTGTTCAGTGGAAAGGCCTCATCACCTAAAAACACAAATGGTAGAGGTGGGCCATTACTTCCTGGCAGAGGTTTTGCTTCAGGCAAATTAAGGCGATTTTCTTGTAACATTTTCCCAAAAGCCCAATTTTTAAAGATATTACTGTCACTGTCTCTGCCAAAAGCACCCACGTCAATAGCTATGAACCTTAGGTCTGCGTCTACTACTGCCATCAAAACAATAGAGAAATAGTTTTTATAGTTATAAAAAGCAGACCCACTGCGCTGGGGAGATATCAAACGAATATGTTTCCCATCAACTGCCCCTACACAATTTGGGAAGTTGGCATTTCTATAATAACTGTCCGCAATTTCAATCCAACGTTCTTTTGATGACGGTGGCCTCATTTCTAAACGTTGGTGCATCTCCCAAATAGCTTCACAGGTTTCATTAATTAGTGCAGACACAGTTCGGCTTCCCACCAAAAAATCTGTTTTCATTTCTTCAAAATTGCAACCAGTTGCCAGAAATCTGAAACAAAAAGCATTATAGTTTTATTTTTAACTTATTTCAGGTGCCGAATTGAAGAAGAAATGGAACAACATTAGAGACTATTATCGCAAAGAATTTCAGAAAACCAAAAATCTTCCTACTGGCAGTGCTGCTAAAAAGCCCAAAACTTATGTTTATAGTTCCTTGCTTTACTTTCTTACACCAGTGTTTGCTAGTAGAAAATCAGAAGGGAACTATCCGACCGAAAATGCAGAATCTATTCAACCACAACAACAATCAGAAACTGAAGAACAAAATATTGAACCGGAAGAAATCAATCGTGTGGAGTCACCCATACCTACTTTACCTATAGTCAGTCAGAAAAAAAAGAAAGATGTCCCCAATCAAATACTAAGTATGTTGCAACAAAAACAGAAAAAACCTTCTGCTAATATTGACGAAGATGACGACACGAAATATCTTCTTAGTTTCAGAAGCTATATGAAAACAATGAATGCTCATCAAAAAATTAATTTTAAAGTCGGTATGCTTCAATTGGTAAAAAGATTACCATGGGAAACGAACCATCGCCATCAACGTCCCGGTACACTAACTATTATCAACAAAGTGACGATTCTTCAGGGTCGTTTCCAATGGCTCCATCACCGACTTACGTTCCATCTTATCAAAATATACACGTGCCCAAAGTATCACCAATATATTTGCAGAGTCCATCTCCATCACCACCAACTTTTTATCAATCTTCGCAGCAGCAAAATGTGCCCCGTAAGAATACCAGGAAGCCTATTTTTATCCACTCAATTTCTAGTGTGACGCCTCCCCAATCAACAACCCAACAAAGCCCCAAGCAAGATTATCCTGTTAAGGTATCTATACCAAATACTAGTGTTGAAGACAATGAGGCTACACAGTTTATAGTTCTCCAGCCTCAAGATTCACAGGAGGGAACAATGCAAGAATTCTTAAACTTTAAGTAAATTTAAAGCGTAATGTTTGTACAATATCTTAATTTTTATTACAATAAATACATACATACCTTAATGTTATGGTCAATTTTTCTTCTGTATCCAAACACAATCTCATGTGCGTATTTTGCTTTTTTATTTTATCTCGTATGCTATTATGAAGCTCATCAAAGGATTTCATTGACATCCTGTAATATTTGAAGAATTCTTCTGGGTATGCCCGTAACTTTGCTCTTTTGACATAGAATTGACTCTCAGTTAATCTTTGGGTATTCAGTGGATGCACCCAATAACGACGTTTTATGCCCTTTTTGTCTAGCGCCAATAAAAGAGCAATGAGCATCAATTCGTCTTCGTCGTCCATACTCGTGCGTTATCAGAAGCGTCTATGATCGAACTGATCGTTTAAATTCCGAATGCAAAAAACAGAATGTGTGCGCTCTCCACACGGAATTCTTGATTAGGAAACCTGATCAGGATTTCTGATCAGGAATCAGTATGTATGCGCCCGGCTCTTAGAATTCTGTTAGTGCTAACAAAGTCAAAGTCAAATCATTTATTTCAATTAGACCACCTAAAATGGCACTTTTGAACGTCAAACAAAATACAAAGAAGATTCTAGTTGCCCCTTCCAAAAGGTAGTTTCGTGTGGAGAAGAATGGGAAAAACACTCCACACTTACTCTTTTAACTATAAGATAAGTATGTAATGAAACGTGTATTATTAAAGGTGAAAATTAATTTGATTGCCGTTTTAGTCACAGTCGACAGGAAAATATAATCAGTAAAAACGTTAATATTACGCGGATTTTAGACATTGTTTCGTATCGAATTATTTTGTCTCATAAACGTTCTATGAGAGAGATAAATAGAAAATAAAAGTTTATTTTAAATTAACTTAATTATCTTAGTCATACCTAAACAAAACCTATACGGCACTTTTAAAATAAATCATGATTTTGCTAAAACCTTGCTGTGACTGAGGTGTTCAAATTAATACCTGCAGCTGAGTTTCATCATCGAACGTCGAGGCAGAATACGAAATTCCACCGTATCACCTCGACGTCCGTCGTTCCACAACTGAGCGTTTTTAATTTATTCTATGTGGAACGAGCTGCCCACTGAAATATTTCCGAACCAATTCGACTAAGGGTCCTTCAAGAAAAGAGCGTACAAATTCTTTTGGCCAGCAACGCGCGAGCCCACTGGCAATGAGAGTGTCCATGAGCAGCGGTATCACTTAGCATCAGGTGAGCCTCCTGCCCGTTTGCCCCCTGTTTTATATAAAAAAAGAGTATATCTTTTATAAACCTGTAGCGACATCTACGATCTGCGTTTACAAATCACTGCCATGCTATACTCTGTACGCTAAAACGCGTTTAGGAAGTTATTCCGGCCGCTACGGATATAGAGAACTTCTCCTTAGCCACTCGGTGGTTAGT